TGCCTAGGATCTTCAGAAGGAGGGGTGCCCACAACAGAAAGCTCATGATAATCATCATCAGAAGTTTCCCACTGGAAGAGAGGCTGGGGAGCCAAGCTAAAGGAAGAGGAAGAGACGGGACTAGGAGCTGGGGTGGACGGCACATAGGAAGGCTGAGGTGGGAATGGGAGGAGAGGTGCAGGGCCAGAGACATGAGACGGAGCAGCATTAGCAGGGACTGTCTTTGCAGCTTCTTTGGAAGGCTGGAGCGGGGGAGAGGCAGGAACAGAGACCGTCCTCCTTGGGGGGAGCGGGGATTCTGGAGGAAAAACCACCTAGAAAGACACGAAGGAAGAAGAAAGGTGAATAAATCCAAAGAGAGGAACCCACAAGCACTTCCTGCAACAGGAAGGCTGGTTGTTACCAGCATGTTTATCTAAGGGAAAAAAGCAGCAAGAAAGAGAAGGGACCTAGAAAATGTGCTTCTTTTTAGCTTCATTAACAGCATCATCTTACACCCAGAACTTCCTGCACAGGGACAGTACTGGGGACAACAACGCACACCTCTGTGACATGTTTCCCAGTGTGGTTTTAAAACTAATCCCCACATGACATTTGACATGTGATAGTAGCAGGCTGCTCAGATACCAGCACCCTCAGATCCTACTCCAGTTCTTAAACATCAAGAACTAGGACCTGCATGCTGTTTTCCTTTTCAGACCAGACAAGGGTAAGCAGAAAGAGTTCTTCATGTCATGTTGCTTAGGGCACACAGAAACTTCACCTGCACCTCCACACAAGGCTATCTGGACAGAGGGACATGCTGGCGTTTCCCAGAGCATGTCCCTGCTTTCTACCTTCTCTACTTGCTGTCCAGCATTCTGCTCTTCCCCCTGGGGTCTGGCAGAGACCCCCTCTGCCAGCCAGTCATCCTGGCCTTCCCGTTCTTCCTGCTCCTGCTTAGTGATGCCCAGTCTATCCTGCAGCTCTTCAATCAAGCAGTCCCGGGACTCAGTCTTGTGCAATATGGCAGGGCCTAGTTTACGCCTTGGAGAGGGGTCACGATACATTGGATGCACGTTCGCAGTCTCTTTTGTCCTCTTGATTAAAGATTTAATCTAAATGACAAAGGTAACAGTATCAGCAGAGAAGAGCAATGTCAGAGCAAGCCCCAAGATGCAACAACATAAACTCAAGCCATTAGTGACAATTGTGAGCAGGAGAGTGATGACATTTATTCCACAGTGCCAAAATTCCTCTTGGCACAGCCCAGAACAGTGAGTCAGTGCAAGGAAAAACCCCGTAAGGATAATCATGGCAGCCAAAAATAACTATCTAGAAGAGGAAGGGAAAGATTAACCAGCAGGAAGCCAAGATAGGAGGTGCAGCATGACCACTCCACTGAGCATTAAAGAAACCTCAGTGTCACAAGGACACCGAGCAGCCTCGCTGTGTTTGCCCTTTACAGGCATAAGACTCTTGGTCAGAGCTGTCTGGTGCACAAAGTGTACTTCCCACACTGGAAAGAACACAGCTCCAGGAATGAGACCTAAAAAGGTGAGTGAAAGAGCTGCCACCCCAAGTCAGGAACATCCTCCAGCGGCATGAAACAGCCCTTCTAACTTATCAGAGGCCTCTGTGGCCTGAGCCTTACCCCAGCTAGGGAATAAAAGTCCATTTCACAGGGAAGTCCCTGCAAATGGCCATGTTCTGTGCTGCCCGACATGCAGAAGAGACCACCAGATATAACAGAGGATTTCAAACCTCTGTGACATGCAGCTGTCAGTTACACTCTCAGAGCTGCATGCTGTTAGTGTGGGTGAGCCCGGGCACACTCACATCACACACAGAATGTTAGTGTGCTGTCCCAACAGTCCTAGCTAGGACTTGTCCTACTCCTACATTCATTCAGTGCCTGCCTGTCCTGATGCAGAAATCCTTTCAATGGGTGGTTTGGAGGCGCATGGCAGATCCAATTCAGCTTTCCAAATGTTTTCAGGAGATTCCGGAGTGACTGCAGAGCTTCTGAACTGCTCATTTTCCTGGTCTCCTCTGGCTTTGTTCACATTAGC